GCAGTTTCTGAAATACTCAGACCAGCCCATCTGGCACCAACAACCATGCCACGTTCAAAGCCAATCAAATCACCTTTCTTCCCCATACTGATGCTCGGTTTGAACTGCAGGAGATTGACTTGACCATGTCTACATGCCTAAATGCACTGAGTTACCGCCATGTGATTAGCTGATTAGAAAAAAGTGTTAACGAGCAGTTGGACAGGTATACCTAATAAAGTGGCCGGTGAGTGTACATTACAGTCATATGCACCCCCTCACCCCCACCACACTCATGTCCTTCCGCTTGTCTGCCTCCCTCTAATGGTTTATTGATTAAAATGATAGCCTGCGGTATGAATGAGTTTTTATACCGGTTTAATTTGCAGAGAAGAGTCCTATACCTCCCTGATGTAACCCAAACCCTTTGTCCCTAAATAACTCAAGAACAGAGACCGCTACCAAAATTTTCCGAGTACTAAATCAGTCTCCCAGTGCCACAAAGCAAGGTCAAAGTAAGACAATTTGTTTTTTGCTGAAGCGGGGTTCCCACAGGTCCTTAAAGTTAATAAAAAATCCATAAAAAGAGAAGTTGTACAATTATGTTCTTAATTGTCCTTAATTTTCACGGAAAGCTTCTAAAATCAATAAAAATCCATATTGTTTTTATTCGAAAATAAATTGAAGTTTGATATTTTCTAAATTAAAATTTTTCTTAGTCTACTTTATTTGAGAATGAATTCAAGTTTTTTTTCATTTTCCTACCTGAAATACAGGTAGGAGAATGAAAATTTGACATACAGCATGTCAAATAAAGGGTTAGCTGATTGCCCCTAAAAATAAAGATGTGCCCTTCCTTTGGCAGCAATGATTTGAACACCAGCTCAGTGTTATGTGGCTTTCTGTTCAGCCCGCATATTGCTGAGCGGGCATTAAATCCTGAATGGAGAAAAAGTCCTTAAAAATGCTAAATTAGCCCTCAAAAGTCCTTAAAGGGTCCATAAATAAAAAGCAAGTGGAAGAGTGGGAACCCTGTGAAGTGGCACATTATGATGTATGAGTCCAGCCAGCATTGAAAGGCAAAAATATACGAGATCGAACATCTGCAGACCAGAATCGGGCTTCTTCCAAAGGTGGGGAGAAAACCCCAATATGTTTCTGATATCTGCAATTGTGACTGCGGCAGAAAAATGCCCAACCACACACACACTGTTCTGATCAAACAAACATAGAAGCATACAATAAATACACAGTGTAATTGGCAATTAAGTAATGTTGAAATATGTTACTACAAAGGTGTGTGATCATTAAATCCGGGAAATTGCCACTACCAACCAGTTATATAGTGTTGAGGTGACTGTCATTTTAATTAATAGGGAAGAGTCAGTACAGGCCAACTGAACAGTATGCCCCATTTAATATGCAGAATATTAGTTTATCGTTGTCTATTTCTGGGTAACTAACTCACTGCCTGGTATTGATACTTGTGGAGTTTCGACCTTAAACACCCATCCATGCAAATTGTGTTGTGTTGGTCTGTCAGTCCGAACAAAACCAGCACGGGTGCCACTTGAAATACACATTGAAATAGAGAAATCATTTTGATGGCCGGCACTCTGGCAATGACCTCATGACCTAAAAAGATTTTACTCTTTGAGTCACTAGTAAAGGTATTTTGTTTATTAGAATTACAGTGAAACTCCTCTACAACGAAATCGTGTTTGCGGCAAGAAATTTTTCACAACAGGGGGTTTTTCACTGTAGCAAATTTGGTCTCAGATGTAAGCACACACACACCCACCCACACAAACATATGTGTACACGCACACAAACGTATGTGTACTCTATTTTTATTCCAATAGTGCATAAGTATGAGCATACACTTATTTGACACTTCATATTGTCAGTGTAGAAAGAAAAAAAGGTAAAGAAATTGCGAAATTTACAATCAGCATTCACTTTCACTTACATCAATTTCTTGGATCATGTCATTTATTTTGCTTGCTCCGTCTTTCATTTTGATCACTTTTAACCTCTCTTCCAGCATCAGAGCTCTTCTTGTCTTAGCTGCTTGACATCAAAAGGTCAGTTTTGTAGCCATTTTAGCAATGCAACGTCCATCCTCGTCTGAATCTAACAATAACAAATACTTCTGGACCCGGTGGCTTTTCTTTCCACCATCTCACTGTCTCTACCTAACCCTAACCCAAGACAGCGTTGCTCAGCTGATGTTCATGCAATGAACTTTTAAACCAGCCACACCTCGTAGTTCTAAATGGCCACAGTTAGCTTTCGAAGGCTAAAAACGTTACGCTAACTGGAGCGCTAATTAGCGTAATGTTTTTAGCCTTCGAGAGCTAACTAGGCCGTCTAGGACTACGAAGCGTCCCGTGGCTGTTTTTAGCATGATAACAAGTAAAGCATTCGAGGAAACGATCGTTTATTTGAATGTCCGTCGAGCCGCGGGACGCTTCATAGTCTTCGACGGCCTAGTTAGCTCTCGAAGGCTAAAAACATTACGCTAACTGGAGCGCTAATGAGAGAGAAGCGCTCCAGTTAGGTCCCTCTTGGCAATGGCAGAGCAGCTATGAGTTTGTTGAGTCCAGGAAACTCGCAGCTGTGACCGAAATAAACATTGTTCACTATGTAAACCAGTGTGGTGTTTGCTGTTGCCGTTTCCGAACGAACCGGTAGAGGTCGCTGTTGGATAAAACTTCGTTGTAGTGAATGTCTTTGCGAGGCTGGAGCAGAGAAAATGATTTCGTATAAGCAACAGGGGGTTTTTCGTCGTATGGGGGGCAGGAGAATGGGAATTGTGTTAATGCATGAAGATTTTTTCACATAAGGGGGTATTTTCGCCCATGTAGGTTTCGTTCTAGAGGAGTTTCACTGTACATTGTAAATATCTTTTAATCTATATGTGTTGTAAGCATATGTATTTTCTATACCAGGCGAGCGTGTTCTCAGTGGGAGCAAATAGATACTAGTGTGTCCACAATGCTGCAGGCACATTGCCCGAATTGGCAGATGTGAACATTTTTCTCAAGAACTATTTACGATTACATACTGTACCTGCTTGTAATCTGAAATAGGTTGGCAAGTTGTTCTGTTTGGCTAATTTATACACCAGGTCAGTGGGAGCAACATGTGTATACTAAGTTACATTTGTGTACATTTATTTTCATGCAGTTTTCAAAAAATCAAGCTAATTAGAGAAAGTGCTTGTGTTGAGAGGGGGGGGGACACACATTCACGTTCACAGGTGTGACATTAGTCCTGTTTATAAATAACACTCAGAAATTCATAGTAAAGTTCTATAAAAATTAAAAAGTTAATAGAATGAAAATTCTACAAGTTCAGTCGATTTCATCCAGAAATAACAAATTTATGTTTTTGTATACACCAAGTGTGATTAAACTTTTTCTTCCAAAGCCCACTTTGGCATAGTTCCTTTTTCCAACACACTAAAGTAAATTAAAAAAATCAGAGAGGTAATAACGGGAAAAGTAATTTTTCAGGATTTTGAGATGGCCAATGACCCGAATGATGTGTGATTGGATGAAAACAAAGTAAGAGATGGCCACCCACTTCTTCTCTTCTCTCCCTTGCCACCCAGTGTAGAAAGTAAGTACTGTAGTACAATGCAGGTGAACGACATGGGCCATGTCAACTGTTCATTTTTGACAATGCTGTGGGCAGCAAAAAATTTAGAGCTCTAGTTTGGACACCTCTGATTTTAACCCTTTCAGGGACAGCGGTTAGTACAGTGGACAGCTTATCATGTTATCAGGTTACATGGTGCATGAAAGGGTTAAACCCAGACCCCATAAAGAATGCGAATTCAAAATTGTTTGGAACTGGAATCGAAAAGAGGGACCGGAATCAGAAACTGAGTCATTCAAAAAAAAAAAAAAAAAGTGTAACCTATTTCTCACGCTACACTCTTACAAAGTCGGTACTTCATACTGCAGAGTACAAATCCACATAATATCAAACATAGCATGTTTTGGGACTTGAGCAGAATTAGAATTATGATCATCCGGTTTCCTGGCGCTTCTAGGCTGCTGGAGCAGGTTCCAGCTCAGATGGGAGAGTGGGCTGTGTGCTGGGCCAAGCTTGTCATCCCTCTGGTGGTGCACTCGACTTCCAAGGTGCGACTGCGGGCAGCGGCTGCCTTGGAGATGGGTTTGCCTTTGCTGCTGCAAAAACAGATGGAAGTGGCTGCTAGCATTGAGCCCTTGATGTCTGCGGTGGGTAACCGTCCTCTGAAGGTAAACGATCTTAATGGCAAAACGATTCATCCAGGTTTTGTCTCTCTTCACAGAAACTGATTCCAGAGCTACAGAAGCTTTTCATGTCCAAAAATGAAATGAATGTCCTCAAGCTCTGGCCATTATTTGTAAAACTTCTCGGGAAGGTACACTTGTTAATTTTTTTTTTTAATGCTATTGATACATTTCTCGCACATAACAGCTCTACCATAAAGTGCTGTCATGATACCAACATTTTGACTTTGATACTACAGTATACCTCCACATTGTATCCTGATACCAATTACTGAAATGGTACCAGGGCAAAAATGTATTGGAATAATAGCTGAAAACTAAGCACCTTCAACTTCTTTTTCATTTGTATTGATTCCGAAAGTGATAAGGATATTAGTTAGAATACTTTAGTAAAATAAATACATTCTGAACATTTCAGGACATTAAGACCGAGTGAACACAAAAACATTTGACATTTTTAAACGCTGCTGAAGGTTTCATATATATATACGGCACTGTATAAAAGTCTTGGGCCACCAAAGGATTTTTTGTTTTTGCTATGTTTTCATGATCAAAGACAGCATAATTAATAGGCTACAGAGTTTATCTTTGCTTTCCACCGAAGTTAAACCAGTAAAAAAAAGAGCGATAACAATCCATAGAACTTTGTATTTTGGGTTTGTTTGTCCATCTGTGTGTTAGCTAGCAGTCTCTGTACTCGAGGGTGGGGAATAGGCAATTCTGGGGGGGTTGATGGTTTTATTGATGCGGTGGTGACTACTAATATACAGAAAACGGATAAACACAATTTGTGCTCGGGCTGAAGCATTTACGGCTTTGGAATCTAAATCGTGACTTCAAACAATGATTTTGTGATCCTGAAAGATGCAACCTCACCAACCTCATGTTTGCTTCTTAGCTGCTCCACCGAGGAGGTCCCTTTATCAACTCGTTGCTCCATTTGGAGGAGCTGGGCTTTCGCAGCTCCTCTCCTACCGTCAAGAAAATCGCTTTTATCGCCTGGAAGAGTTTGATCGATAACTTTGCTCTTAATCCAAGTGAGTCTTTTATTTTTCTCCCCCCGCCCCCTACGTTTCTTTTGAGCTCCTCTAACTGCAATCTTGTTTTTCTCAGACATCCTTTGCAGTGGAAAGCGCATGAAGCTTCTCATGCAGCCCCTCATGTCGATCAATATTCGTACAGAGATGCTAATGCTTACCAAGGTGGAGGTGTGGTGGTACCTAGTGGTCCAACTTGGCCCCAACCTGTCGCCCCACTTTGATTTGGTAGATAAACTTTTTGTTGTTGTTCTCAAGCTTCCATTTTGCATTCAACTTGGAGCTGCTTTAACAGTAGTAATTACTGTTTTCGGTCTCCTCAGGTGTCACTCCCATTGCTACAGTGCACCATTGGATCTGAAGCCACCTCGGCCCCAGCCACCCCTGCCAGGGGTCAGAATGACGTTGCAACACCCAGCACACCCAAATCTGGTACGTTCAAAACCTCAGCTGAAACATTTGACGTGTATGTTTGGGAAAGCACGCACGCGCGCACACACACACACACACACACACACACACACACACAGACCTTTTTGGCACACATATTTAGATTTTCATTTTTCATTTTATGTTTATTTTAATAGGTACTGATGCCACAACATAGACGAAGGAAAAACAATCTCCAATGCACAGCATCACACTATTTATACCTAATGCTATGATTTGATATATCAAATGCCTTTTTAAGATCGACGACATCTCCCTTGTCTGGTTAGATTTTTTTTTTTTTTTTTTTTCCTCCAACAGATAGCAATTTGCTCTTTCTGTGGAATATTTGGGTCTGAACCCAAATTGTAATGGGTGCAGATAATTTATTTCTCAGTGACTCATCAGTTGCACTGCTCCAACCTTTTCTGGAATCTTTGCGAATACAGGAAGAATACTGATAGGCCTATAATTACTCACCTGATCACCTGTCCTAGATTTAACAATTGGAATGACTTTTGCTTGTTTCTATTTTCCTGGGAGTTTTCCCGTAATCAGGGAGTGGGGGGGGTATTGATGAAGTGAGTAAGTGGTTCATCCAGTGTACTCCAGAATATTTAAAAATATATATATATCCATCCATCACCCGAAATGCTTTTCCTCACAAGGGTTTCGGGTGTGCTGGAGCCTATCCCAGCTGTCTTTGGACAGTAGGCGGGGGTACACCCTGAATTAGTTCCCAGCCAATTGCAGGTCGCACACAGACAAACAATAACCAGTCACAATGACAATCTGATATATATCCAAATTAAACAACTATTTTCAGAGATGAAAGTCCTCCAGATTTTCCCGGAATTCCGGGTTTTTCAAATTTTTATGAAAATTTCTCCGGAGAATTGAGGAAAATAAAATAAATAATAAAATTAATCCGGATATTAGTTGATAACATTGAACGAAGACGCGTTTGAGTTTGTTGTATTGCTTTCACGAGCGTAGCCATATTGAGGCACTAACACTAGTAACGGTAAAGAGATTTTTGTTTGTGTAATAACGACAGAAGACATGATGGCGTTTGACTAATGGTTTAGTAGAACGAATGGCAACTCGCAACAACAGTAGCAAGCGTCATTTTGCCTCTTGGGTTATACCATCTCAACTAGAAGGTGGGGGATAGTCCCCAAACAATTTTCGTCTCTTTATAAACACACCTGCTAAACCCCAGTGGAACGAATAAAAGACGCCGTCAACAAGACAGTTGTAGTAAAAAATACATTTGGCCATAAAGGGAAAAACACAGATTGGCAGAAAATCGTGTCCGTCCGACTTAGAGTGTCGTCTCGGCTAACTTAGCTTAGCTGTTGTCGTGGGTGACGTCATTTACG